AAAAAAAAAGAAAAAAAATATAATAAAGATATTAAGAAACACAATAGGAATTACGAAATTCTAAAACTACTGATAATTTATTCATTATTTAACTCTGTATCACTATCACTATTGTCATCATCTAGACCTAAACTTATAATTAAGGGTTGAACATTTGTAATGAAACAATTATAAGAATTTTCCATCCATATCAGTACACTCAAAAGGACGCCACATAATACCACAGATAAGTCCAACTGAAAACTACTCTCTGGAAGACTACTAAAAACTAAAATTATAAAGTCAGTTGCTACTATTTATATTTTGGTTATTTTGACCTGATATGCAATATAGACATTAGATATTCTCAAAACTCAGAATAATCTAGGTCATCAGGTATGTAACATACCTACCTGTTATAAATAGAATTTGTGATAATACCTGAGGATCCGGCTCTGCTCGAAAAAGGTTTAAATTTGGGGTTTTATGTTTTATTACTTGGTCAAAAGGATAATGGGTGTTAATTTATTGCAGTAAGAGTCAACGGTATATTGTTGCGCGTACTATAATCGTTTTACAACTATATTTCTTCGGTGGCCGGACTATAATAGGCCTGTTCGCAGAACAATCACAAACCAGTCAGAGTGAATCTCATTGGTTGAAAATAGTTTTCTGACTGTTTCTGATTGTTTTCAACCAATGAAATTTGCTCTGACTGGTCTGTGATTGCTGTGCGAACAGGCCTAATGTTTCTGTGCACGTAACTTGCGCATTAGTACAGTCAATCAAATCTAACGCTATAGGTCTGGATGGCATTTCGATCCAGATGTTGAAGATGGCTTTACCCTTTTGTGGCAGGGGCAGGGTATTTAAGATAAATTTAGAATATTAATGGCCGTTTTCACTAACTATTTTAGGGAAGCATTAACGATAAGTATTCCCTAAACTGACAGTTTTCCATGGAGAAATGTCAGTTTAGGGAATACTTATCGTTAGGGCTTCCCTAAAATAGTTGGTGGAAACAGCCATATGAGTATGTACAAGTTGTTACTTTTGATATGGTGCTGGTTGAATTCCTCCAATCACTGTGGCGTAACCGGCCAGTTTATATTGAGGTATAGCACAGGTTTGTTGATAAATGCAATTTCTTCCTGTTCCTCACAACTTGTAGTAGGAAATAGAATGGGAGTAAATATTTTGAAAGTGGGAAAAAAGAGGTGAAACTAAACTATATTTTAAATATGTTACCAAAAATTATACACAGAAAGAACAATTTAACTATGTAGTCAAAACGGAACACTGGCTATTCTGAACATTGTAAACTCATCTCTAATTAGTGATAACGTCCCAGGAGCATGAAAAAACTCAACCTTCAGAAGAAAGAAAATACCTATCTCAGATCCATAAAACCTTCGCCCCATGAGCATTTTATCGCCTGCTTCAAAGGTACCAGGTACCGTAAAATGGGGTGAAATGCAACTATTCTACCAATCGCAACAGTTTTCAGGAAAATATCGTTTTATTTTTTTTACCAGTCCAGTCTGTATGCTTCTCAGAAGGTTGAATTATTTTATATACGTATTTGGGCCCTACACCTAATACTTAAAGCACAAAAACCAAATTTTTAAAATAATGAGGCTTTAGGCTATAATATTTAATTAAGGATCAATTTTTAATAAGATTTTGTCCCTGAAAAAACATTATATGACAAACCTCCTTAACATTTAAATTGGAGGTGAAGTTCGATAGGTAACACATGTCCTTGGTACCTTATCCCACTATTATAATTTTTACATTTGGGAAAACCTCAACTCAAATGCCGGGAATCTATGATTTTTTTAATTTGATTGGTCAGAAATCGCGGAAAAATGGGGTCAATCGCAACAACAGGGTACCTACGACCAACGGTACGACCCAGTCACCTAGCGGTAAGTACCCTAAAAATTGCCGAAGAGGCATTATGATATTTCAAAAGGACACCGCCAAGTGAAACATCCTTATCCTTTTAGTTTTGCCCAAGGCTATCTATCAAATAACCAGTGGCGGTTCCTCCATAAGAGCACATGTGCACGTGCACTCCCAAATTAATATCAAACAACTTTAAATTTAATTTTATCATTCTTCAAATTTTAACAATCTACCTGTAAAGTATTAATTTAAAAAATTAGTGGCCAAATGCGCCAGCAAAACAAACGCAACCGGCAACGCTGGAATCACAGCGTCCACCGCGTCGCTTGATCGCCCCGTTCACTGCACATTTCAATAATAAATCCAATTGGTGGAACTATGCCCCCCGCACTCTTTGTTCCCCGCGAAGGTCTAGCGACGTTCGATGTTTTAAGCTGGCTGGTGTGCACATGTAGTCAGTGCACTTTGGGATCGGAAGCTGTTGTTTTATATTTATTTCGATTTCGAGCGCGATTTAACTGAAAACTGTGTGTAGAATTGCGGGATTTCTGAACCCCGATAGCCTTAGCGTGCAATATTTAAAAACAATTAAATTTTCTTCGCTTTCTTTGGAGGAAAAAATCCAAATCAAATGTGTCGGCCGTCCAAAGCCAAATTTAATAATCACCAACATAACAAAATGCAAAAGTCGTGATTATAAACGAACTTTTAAAATGGAAACTTACGAAAAAACTGACTGGTTGTGCGGTTGTGATGTTAGTAATAGTCTTTACTGTTTTCCCTGTTTGTTATTTGGAAGCGATGAAGCATCAGAATGGACAAAATCCGGCGTTAAAGATTTAGTACATTTATCCGAAAAAATTAAAAAACATCAAAACTCAAAATCACATCTTACTCTTATCTTTCAATACAAAACGTGTCTGTGAGATTGAAAACTATAATACATTTATGTATAAAAACAATTGTTAGACCAGGACGATGTACTCAGCGAGGTAAGTTACTTTGTTACTTAATTTCTAGTTTATTGATATAAGATCCTTCAATTTCCACGATTTGATAGACCGAAAAAAGTATTAAATTGAGCTTAGTTGGTTGTTTGGTAGGGTAGATATGAAATCCCTTAACAATATTTTTAATTATTGGTAGGTAAACACATCACGTAACTCATACGATCACTTACAATAAATTATTTTTTTAAAGGCCTAAAATAAACACTTCTGGGCGTGGCACCCCGAAAAATTTCGCGCACCCCAATATGTTATACCACGAGCCGCCACTGCAAATAACTATTTTTAATCATGAGCTTCTACTCTCGAAGCTTTTATGTTCAAGGTATACCTTTGCAATAGTTCAAGAATTACTTGTTTAACAGACACCAAACTGTCGAGTTAAGGAGCAAAACTGGCCTGGCACTGTACCGGGAATTTTTTGTACAGAAGAGGGTCCCACAGGGGTCAGTATTTCGTCCTTTGTCGTTCAATTTGTTCCTCACTTCTGTTACGCTGATCGACAAGGCAATTAGTTCGATCAACGAAGATTTACAAAGCTTAATCTATTGTGCAAATATGAACGGTCGTCGGTCTTAAAGTTAATGTGTCTAAAACTGATGTCATTGGTAAAAGTCGAAGGTAAAAGAGGAATGTGAAAGATATCTAAAAAGGTACGGTTTGTTAGGATAGTACGCGACGCACAACTGACAACGTAAACGTCGTCATTGGTTCAGGTATGACGTACACCCGTTTTCTGACGCTGACGTCAGGGAACGGGTGTATCCTAACAAACCGTAGGTATAGTCCGACAAATACCATTTTAAAGTCACGTGATACTGGTGGCAAAAAACGTATGTCCATTGATTATGTCGTTGATATCACCTACAAAAAGCTACTGGTGGTTAATTACTATTGAATTTTAATATATGTTCCCACTAGCATTTTACAAACGCGTTTCTGAAGTAGTATTGACCAATCAGAGGGCAATTTTAATACTTGCAATTGTTGCGAGACTCACTTTTGTTGCATGTGCTGTCTGTTGTAATACATTCTGAACTTAAACTGAGTACCCGTTTTCTATTTGCTTCTTTTCGAGTTGGAAAAAGGTTAATATAGTCAAAATTATTAGCTGTGTTTGTTCGTTGTATTACTTTCGAAAATAACTTTGACAAACTAATTGATGGCAGTGACGGATTCTATTTCAGGTAAGAATATTATGAACAATAATTAGACAGCAATTTTTTTGTCAATTTTACTATCACCGCTGTTTGAGATGTATTCAACAAGGATAGAGAAAAATCACGTGACTTTAAAAAGGTATTTGTTGGACTATACCTTAGCTAGTCAGCTTAGTGCGAACGGCGAAACAATAAGATTTAGTGCATAAACAAGTGGCAGCTATGTGCTATTCTTTAGTACCTTCTCTCCAAAATAGAATTATCACCGGCTGGAATATTTTTCTGGTCAGAATTTGATTATTACCGGCGCTTGAATCACCAGAAAACCTTCCCAGACGAGATCAAGAGCCGGGAATAGTTCAAATTTTGATAATTACTGGCTTTTGAATCATTACAAAATTTCTCTAAAGGAAATCAAGACCCAGTAACACTTCAGATTTGAATTATATCATAGGCCTGTAACATTTTTCTGGCCATACTTGAAAAACATTCGGTGGTTAGGTAAACATATGAATGAAAGAACTTGGGTGCATTTTCATACACGAGCTAATTTTGGCTACATAACCCAGATATTTGTACAAAAAGTTGGAATTCCGAGGTATGGTCACATGCAAAAGAACTTAGACAAAGGTACTACAGTTTCTCAAACAATTCCTATCCATAGTTCTGAACCTTTCAAAAACAGTTTTTCCTACAAAGCAGCAACATTTTTATAACGACTTATCCACCGAATAGATATCAAGGCTTCAAGTTTACCAGCTTTTAGAAACCACATAGTTACCAAAACTCTCGATGGTGATTTCGCTGTATTTTAGTTTGTAGTTGATGTGTATTTTTGTATGTAGGTACTTCCAAATTGACACTACTTATGGTCAACCAATTTCTTAGAAATTGTAAAAAACCATTCGCAAATTAAATAATTTATTATTATAATCGAGGTTTTTACCTGTTAGAGAAGTCCAAAACGACATTGTATAATCCTTATTAGTTCTTTACTGGCCTTGGGAGGTAATTTAAAAATATCACATAAGCAGCCTCTAATAAAAATAAACGGTCAACACAATACGAGAAACCGCGAACAAGCTTGGTAAGTTACTGATACTAAAGAAAATTCAACATCGAGCCGCAGCGTGTGCGTAAAATGCGGAATTTATTTAGAAACTGGTATTTTCGCGTGGGTTACGGTTTTATGAATCAAGTGCCTAGCTTTTGATAATATATTATATGAATTTTATTTTGGCTGGATGATCAAAGTCGCTCACAAGTGCCTAAAGCTAAAAATCTTTGAATGTGGGTTATTGGCAAGATGATGACCATCTACTTTCTATAATGACTCATAACTATTGCTTAAACAAAAGATTTTTATCGTATTTAATACAACAATTTATTAAAATAATTATTTTCTCTGTCTACAAATAATAAATAATCACATTCTGAAATACTTTGGTAAAAAATAAGTTTATATAAACTGAAAATGTATCCTAACTACCTTTAAAAGGTATTTTTTGTTCACAAATTACCCTAACTACAACTAAAATATCAGTCAATTTTCATTTTCATTTCATCAAATTTATTATTGGCCTCGTCTTTTTTATCGTCTTCAAATTCTCCCTCTAACTTTGGCGCCAACATTTGTTGCAAAAGAACCAAGGCAAATAAAATAGTTAACATGTAATTTATTCTGTATATTGACACTGTAGCATAAAGGAGAGTCACCGGAATCATACAAAGACTTACTAGCCTTAGGAGGTTTGTCCATTTCCTGTCGGTCCTCGGTAGATCAAATTGCCACAAAACGAAACCTCCGATACTAAATACCAAACCTGGTATTAGGGAATCGTCAGGTGTTAAATGTTTACTGTATCTGATAAGAATAAGTATGTATTAATTAATTAGTCAATTAACGATTATGTTGAACTACTTGCCTGAAGTTATGAGCCCAAGTTATCACAGCGGGACTATTTAAAATGGTTACAATAACCCAAATGAAAAATAATGAAGAATGGAAAAATATGGCATTGTTAGTTTCTGTCAAGTTTTCAAATGGGTTCTTTTCTTCTTCTGTATTTTCAGTTTTTTCTTTGTCTGCTTCAGGAGCATTTGTGTGTGTTGAAATTTGATCACCAAGATTTTCTAAAGCCTCTGGTAATTGTTCTTCAGTTTCATTACTCTCACTGATCACTGAATTTTCTATTGATTCTATGACCTCTTCAGTGCCATTTGAATCTTTACAATCGTCAGTATTGCCTTTCACATCAAGGACTTCTTTGTTGGTACTCTTTTCCTTCTCATTGTCACTTGAAGATTCAATATTTTCTTTACAGTCAATATCCTTGATTGCGGGAATTTCTTCATTTTTACTCGTTGTCTCCTCCTTTTTGTTCCTACTTAAGGCTCTCCGTATTTTCCGAGCAATGATTTTCACAACAAACCAGGCAATTTGTTCCACATAGTCTTGCGACATTTGGGTCAACTAAAGAAATAATAATTTTTTCAAATAAATAAGGAAAGTTAGTAATATGTTAGCTTACTTTAAGAAAATAGAAAACTAGACCTACGCCCAAGGCCAGACCGCCGCAAGTTGAAAAACTGAGTACCACTAGGACAGTGGCTACCATGAATGGTACTTTTTGTAAAAACGTCATAAAATAATCTGAGAATTTTATAGTAAATGTTACTGTCCTTGCTAATAACCTACAATGATTATTGCAATTATACAGTTTATATTTATGGACCAACTCACTTCAATGTCAATTTATGAACAGTCGACTCCAAAGTGAACAAAGAAACACAATACGCTGCCACTAGAATCAGTACAGCCACATAGGAAACCATAAATAATACTGCTAAAGCAAATCCAAGATAAATACTGTTTGAAAATATTCTATATTCTGGATTTGGAATGAAATTGTTCCTAAAAATCACAAGTTGACAATAATACACTCAGTTATTTAACTTACAAAGCAACTGAAGCCAAAAACGTCAGCACAACAATCCAAATCTGCCTTGTACCGTGAAACAGGGCCGAAAAAAATATCGGAACCTTCCCAGTGTCCCCCATTAGATGAATTTGACTTTGGAAAGCCAAAAGAAACACAATGACTGAAGTGGCAAATAAAAATGGGGAATAATATCTGGCTATTTGTCCAAAAATCCCTAGAATATGCAATCTGATGCTAATCCTATAAGTACACATAGGTTCTAGGATTAATCTAACTTTTACATTTCCACCATTCATATGCTTTGGATTTTGTACTCTCAAAATTAAAGGTTTATTGGATAATTCCCTTAAAAAAAAATCAAATAATTATATAGGCAAATAATGAGTAGTAAATTATTACGTAAAATGTACATGAATACTTTCATTAGCCCATGGTACCAAAACACTAGCTGTAGCATGGTGTGTTTTGCTCCTACAACTTATCGGTTCAACAAATAATTGATAAATTTGCAAAGGGTCATTCAATTCGGGAATTACAAGACTATAAATTAGGGCTTTGTCAGGCGTTTGTGGCACTAGTACTTGTTTTTTGACACTAAATATTGGCAAAGACACTTCAATTTCTCTTTCATAGGAACCATAAGTGTCTACATGGAAGGTTAGCTGAAAAAATAACAATAGATTAGAGGTTTTTAATTTAAAACTTTTTTGTCTTACTGGTTCTGATGTGGGAAGAGCCCTAAATACAACATGTGTATATTCTTTATTATGTGTCCGTATTTCGTGCATGTTAATAGTCAACAGCCTCCTTTTATGTCTACTGGATGGAAATATTTCAGAAAATTGAGTCAAATGTTGTGCTTCAACACTAAAACAAATATACTTAAAAAAATCTTCAATAAATATTCATTTCTTACCAAACTTTGTGGGCTTTATTAGGGTAAGCAGCGTTACATACGAAAGCCCAATCGGTAACTTCTAAATTGATAGCCAACACTGTCAACATTTCGTAGGTGGGCTGATTCGTAATGCTCACCATATACCAGTGGGGTTGTTTAATTCCTCTTTTATGCTCTACACTATATTGTCTGTACAAACTTTCAATCCATTCACCTTTATAGTCAATTCTCGCAGGAATTGTTAGATCAGTATTGCTTAGGTGGATTTTTGAGCCACTATTCTACAGTAAATAATAAATTGTAGACAACTAATTATTTATATTGAAGCTATCACTTACATGAATAAGGTGATACTCAAATACCCGCTTAACAAATTTAGGATCGGTAGATATTTGTAGAGTTAGTCTATCGACACTATCAAATAACGCCCTGTTTATTGCTAAAACTGTTTGCTTGCACCAAAGAATTTGTACGTGGTTTGATTCCACCCAAGATTTAGCTATATTAGTTGACTACAAATACGTTTTTACTACCTCTGAATAGTTGAAAATCGCAAATACTTACCACTACAATAATAGTATTATTGCCTTTATTAACAGCTAAATAAGACGGTACCAGAAGATCACTGTATCCTCCAGTAATGCTAACAGATACGATACTGTCATCCTCGAAAGAACTAGTGCTATAAAAATTGCTACCATGTCTGTCAAAATATATCGGTAAATTTGCCAGAGGTGTAGCTAACATTATGAGCACTGACACTAGTTTTTTATTTTGACTCAACAGCTCGGCTATGGTTTTTTTAGCAACAATACCACCCTACAAACAAACAAAAACTATACTAAAACAATCTTCAATAAAAGTCTAACTTACTACTGAATGTCCAACGAGTATCACTTGCTTAGGTGGATTTCTATTGTGTTTATACAGCTCCAAAATTTTGTGAACGGAGCTCAGAACGTACTGAAGCTGGTCATATAAGACTGGCCCGTAAAGAGCACTGAATTCTGAGTTCAAATCGACGGTGAAATAGTCCAAATGGAACGGGGTGCCCGAGTTTAAGGCTTTTCTTAGAGCAATAGACGAAAGGGATCGGACTGAAAATATAAATAAAATTATTAGAAGTCTGTTGTTGTTTCTTTTTAATTTTCCTGTTTCACCATACATTTAAGTGATAATAGCATAACATAAAGGAAAAACTTCAATGAAAACTTCTCTGTATTGAGTTGCTTATTGGCGTTACAATATAAATATTAGGTATACTTGTAATATTATTATTTTTTGGACATGCCAAAAGTCTAGGATGTATGTAAAATTATCCCAAAACCCAGTACTCATCTATATCGTGAAGGCTGTATAAATGTCTTAAATCAGTTTTACAGAACTGGTAATTTAGTTGGAAAAGGTTTTAATCACTGGAAAACCACATACATATTATTACATGGTAGAATTCTGGCTAGTGACTAGGGAGTTTCTATTCTTGAAAATATAATTTTCACGAGAAAAAGTAATAAGTAACTCAAGAGAAAGTATGGGATGTAGGTTGAAAACTTCAAAAAGCACTCTTTTCACTTTTCTGGTGGGAGTTGACCTAAAAGTCTATGTTTTGTTTGAGTCACCAGAAATCATTTCTTTGTCAAATGGCATAATGCTAAATTTTAAGTTGATTGTCGAAAGACGAATCTCGATGAAAATTAGCTTGATTGAGTTAGTTTAAAGTCCTTTCAAAGATTATAGAAAAAGTTGCTAAAGCAAGATTGTTAGAATTCTTGGTAACAACAATATCCTTAGTCCTGAACAGTTTGGCTTTCAAAAGCAAAGGGGTACACAAGATGCTATTTTCTCCTTTTTAGAGAAACTGTTTTTTGGGTTAAATGATGGCGAAAAGGCAGCGGCGGTGTTTTGTGATTTTTCCAAAGCATCTGATCGTGTAAATCACAAAATACTGCTGCGCAAGATGGGTCATTATGGCATTAGGGGAACAGAATTGAAGTGGTTTGAGTCATACCTTGCGGGACGTAATCAATTTGTCAGAACATCAGATTATGAAGATTCAGAAACTTCGAAGTTGATGCATGGAGTTCCGCAGGGGTCTGTTCTTGGGCTTATCTTATTTTTAATTCACATTAATGACCTAGCCGGGCTGTCGATACTGGGGAGATTTGCAGATGACACAATTCTTTGGAAACATAAAAATGACAATGTTTTGGCCAACATAATAGAGAAGGATTTGTGTAAGGTTGGAAAGTGGTGCGAAGCTAACTGTCTTGTGTTTAATGTCTAAAAAACAAAAATACTTTTATCCAAGTGTTCTCTTTTCGGAATCACACTCTGCAACAATAGGCTGGAAGAAAACGGTGTAGTGAAATGTGAAATTTCTAGGACTCCACATAGATTCGAAACTCAAATTTGACAGACATATTGATCAACTCAATGAAAAATTAGCTAAAGGTTGTTTCATTATAAAAATCCTCGTTCATGAACTAGGAAAGATTTCAGCTAAGACAGCCTACCATGCCCTGATTGAATCGCATTTGAGATAAGGCATAGCGTTCTGAGGATATTCAACACAAAGCGCTATTCAATCGGCTTTTGTTCTACAAAAAAGAGCCTTGAGATATCTTTGCCAGGTTGAATGCAGGGAGAGCTGTAAGCCTCTTTCTATCAAGCATGAAATTCTAACGGTTCCGTGTATCTTTATATTGGAGACTGTATGCTTAATATTTAAAAAGTTCCAGGGGTTCGAAAGAGATGAAGTACAAACAGTACAACAGTGAATTGAATTGAATTCTTGCACTCATAAATAAGGAACCGCTTCGTCAGTGTGCTTCAAGGTATGGGAAGAGGAATATTATTTAAACCACGGGTCATAACTACTATTAGTAACTGTGAACTCATGACGATATTTGTATACTGAAACAGAGGTATCGAAGACAATAAGGCAATGGTTTACACGAATCCCGAACATCCGCACCACAAACAATCATTGGGGCTTTCTTCTGCAAAATCTGGACCAATCTAGAATATGCCTCTCAAAACGAAGCCTCACATCAATAAGGAGTCCCAAGAAACCGACTCATTCCTGTCCTGGATGTGTCTGTTATTATCAAGACGCAGACTATCAACACTGCACTTAAACCCCATAAGTCTTAGTCGCATTACCAGAAAGCAAGAACCTGAACCAAGCCAAAGCCCTCTGAAGCCATATACTATGTCGTTCTCAATCTGATACTCCAAAGGAATGTGAGCTGGTCAATAACACTCCAGTTTTGAAAGCAACAACCCATGATCCACAAAATCAAACGCTTTGGACGAATCGCAAAATACCGCTGCAGTTGATTCTCTGCCATTTAAGGACCAACAAACATTCTCCGGAAACTGGAAAATGGCATGCATATCATGCGTTCCCCTGCTTTGAACCCATATTAGTTGACACCAGGGATATTACTTACTGCTATAAATGATTTGATTCTCTTTTTAACAAGCTTTTCAATCACCTTAGAGAGTGTGGATAAAATAGAAATTGTTGGAAAATTAGAAAGATCTTCAATATCACATCCCTTATGCAGGGGAATTACAATGGCCAGTTCAAAACAATCCAGAAACACACCTTTTGAAAAAGAAATTAATTGCCGGAGCAAGGGCAAAAAGAGCTTTGTCAGGCAGACCCAGAAATATTCTCGAAGATAAGTCGTCGTCTCCCGAAGAGTTTCTATTATGTTGGCATGATTTGAATCATGATTTACGTTATTCTTTGGTATCTCATAGCTTTTTCTTTGCAGCTATGGTTTGTCTTTCTGAGGGAATAACTGGGTACAACACGTGTGCCTAAGGTTATTCTTTCTTCGGTGCTAGTCTTGCGCTTGCTGCTGGTTTCATATAGTACTTCCCGTACTATATGAGCGGTCTCAGCACAACCGCTTTCTGAAGTGTCATCAGGTTCTGGGTTCCAGGGAGTTGTTTTATCGCTTCACAGGTGTGCGATATCAATCATGTGGCGCCGATTAATTTATTATTTATTTATTAGCAATAGTTAACAAAAAAAGTAAAAACAATAAAAATATAACATTAGTTCACCACTTACGTAGAACTAAAATAAAATAAAATCTACTGCTAACAACACTACTGCTACAGGGACGGGGACTACTACTGTTTTCATGTTCCACAGGCGTTGTATTTCAATTTGCAGATCTTTGTATTTCAAGCGTTTCTCTGCTGCCTTCTGGGTAATGTGGTAGTCCGAAGGGATTGCTACGTCTATTAGCATGCATGTGTTCTCTTTCTTGACCTTCACTATGATGTCAGGTTTGTTTGCTAGTATAGTTCTGTCTGTTTCCACTTGCGTGTCCCATATTATTGTGATTTCAGGAGTGTCGATGATAGAGTCCAGGCTGTGTTTGTACCATTTTTCATGTACTTTTACTCCATACTCCTTGCAGATGTTCCAGTGCAGGTGGGCGGCGACTGTGTGGTGGCGGTTCAGGTAAGGTTTCTTCGCTAGCATAGGGCATCCTGACGCTATATGGTGGATGGTTTCGGAATGGGCGGGGCATAGTCTACATTTTGGGTCTATGTTTGCCTTCATTATCCTTGCCTTCACATAAATAGTTGGTGGCTATAGCTTGCTCCTGACATGCAGTTACCAGTGCTTCGGTTTCTATTTTCAGATTTGCATGGGTGAGCCACTTCCATGATGCAGCTGTGTTGATGGTTTCCTTTTCCTACTCTTTTGCGATTTGTCCATGTAGGGGCTTTTTGCTCTATCTTGTTGTCTGTTCTCTTCTCTTCTGTTGTTTCAATCCTTCTTTAATCTGTTTGGCTCTTTTGGTTTCAGGTTGGTTCGGTTCGGGCTGACGCTTTTCTTTGTGTTGTTCTAATGCCTTGATGCTGGTGTTCTCGTCTAGTACTTATGTTTTCCTTCGTTTGTTGCTTCCGTGTAGTGAATGTAGCCTTTGCGTATTTATCTACTTCAAATTGTATCTGTATGTCTGCTGAATTTGTGTAATTTTTCTAGTTGTTGCGTTTCGTCTTTGTTTTCAGGTATCAGCTTCAGATCATGAACGTATAGGAGGTGATTTATCTTTTGCTTCTTGTTTCTGCAAGTATATCCTGTAACTGTACTGTTAAGAATGGTACTCAGGGGGAACAGGGACATACGAAACAGTATCGGTGACAGTGAATCTCCGTGGTAAATGCCATTCTTCATGTTGATTTCTTTGATTGTGAGGGTGGTTGGTATATGTTCATGGTTTTTACTAGCCAGCTGTGAGGTACACTATCAAAAGCTTTACTGTAGGTAATCCAGGCTATTGACAGGTTTTTGCGGTTGTTATTGCAGTCTTTTTGGATCATGTTGCTGGTGCAGTTGTTGTTGATTGATGCAGCCTTTTCGTCAGGGAAGAGATTATTTCCTACTAGATGTGAGTAGAGTCTTTCTGATATTATCTTTGTTGGAATTTTGTATACTTTGTTCAAGCAGGTTATGGGACGATATGATTTGGCTTTTTCAGTGTCTTCAGATTTGGGGATCAGGTGCGTGTTACCTTTTGTTAACCAGGCGGGTGTGTCCTGTTCTTCTTTCATCATATCGTTGTAAGAATTTGCCAGGGTTTTATGTATTGCTTCTAGTTTCTTCTACCAGAAGTTTGGTATGCCCTCTGTTCCTACTGCTTTCCAGTTTGCCATCAGTTGCTAGCTTAAGTTTGGCTAGGCTGATGTTGGTTCGGATGTCCGGCCATTTCATGCGTTTTATTTTGGAGGTTTTGTCGCATTCTTTCTGAATCCAGGTAGCAGTACTATTGTGTCTGATGTCTCTTTCCCATATGCTTCTCCAGTACTGTTGTATCTCTGTCTCGTTGGGCGTCCCTCTGATTGCGTTTTTCTTCCCTAGTATCTTGTTATAGAGTCTGTGTGCGTTTTCCGTGAACTGTTTATTCTGATAATACTGGTTGCTTCTCTCGCTGTATCGTTTTATTCTGTAAGCTTTAGCTGCTATTTGTTGTTTCAGTTTTTCTTGCGTTGCCTTGAGTTGAGCCTCCTTGGTGATCTGGTACTTTGCGAATAGTCTTTTCTTCTCTTTCATTGTTTTGCTGAGCAC